ATTAGTAGTACTGTTAACTTGAAATTTATTTCTCCCGCTTGTTAAATTATGTTGCTATAAACTATTGATGCTAAGTCATTAAATAAAATAAAAATGGAAGACAGGTGAAATAGTTCAGTTAGTTGGCTTGCCTAGCTTTTACTAGTAGGCGCCATCACGACTCCCGAGGGTGGAAAATCTAGGTCGTGACATAGGGAGGGAAGTTCCGGTGGTCCCTGATGCTATTCACATCCTCGGGCAAAGTTGGGCCTCCCCCGGTCGCTCAGCAATTCTTTGAGGTGTCCTTGGCGAAGCATCTTACGATCTCCTGCCTTAGGGAAAATACAGTCCTTAGTTATATGACCTCGCTCTTAGTGGAACTCGCAGAGGGCGTCTGACTTTCTGGTGTTTGGGTCTGACCTCATCTTTTGCGGCCATCTTACCTTCGATCGAGCTTCTCCAATGCGTAGACTATTTCTAAAGGTGACACACAAAAATTGTGAGCGGATAATAAAGGGGGCATACCTCTTTCATTTCGGTAAGTCCCTGTTCTTGGCCTAGGCGGGCCATCGTCGTGGCGAGAGGGGGCATTATGGCGCTTCTGATATATGGCTGATGTCGTTCTCAGTTAGGTCGTAGAGCAACAAGGTCGCTCCTAACATCGTTTCTGCAATCCTTTCTGGACTCGGCATGTACGAGGTCAGCCGATGGGTTGGCCCATTTAGGTCATCCTCTTCTGCACGGACCTCGGCACAGTAGGCGCTATGTATTTCATCCCAAGTGGTTGGAGGATATTTTATAAGCCGACTTAATAACTTTTTGGTTGCCTTTGAGTCATTCCTTCTCAGCCTATTTTGGAAAGCTACTACGGCCATCCCTTCCAGCACATTTGGTAGGGTCATCCTTACTCGGTTGAATGGAGCGAGGAAGTCCCCCAATCCCTCTCTGGGCGATTGTTTGATGGCGAATATATCTTTCATTCTTGCCTCCGCCTTTTTGGCCCTAGCATGGGCCGTTACGAACTTGTCGGCCATCTCTTCGAATATTTTGATGGAATGCACCGGCAGCTGTGAATACACAGTTAATGCTCCTCCAGTGAGGGTATCACCGAACTTCTTCAACAAGATGGAGGATACTTGTTCCATGGCGAGGTTATTGCCTTTTACAGCGGTGACATAGTGAGTCACATGATCTTCGGGATCGGTCGTACCATAATATATTTTCAGATATAGCGGCATTTTAAAGGTCCTTGGTATGGCATTCGGGGTGGCTTCATCACTGTATGGTTGTTCGACGAACCGACCAACGTCCCTTTTTGGCAAGACTTTCGGGGCACCCGTATTTTATCGACTCTTTCTTGGTGCTCTCTCATTTGGTCTCGAAGCATCTTATTCTCGTTTTCCATTTCTTCCATCTTTTTCAAAATTACTGTGAGAGTGTCATCACCTGCATTATTAACAGTGTAAGTAATACCTGTTATCGGAGGGAAAGGGCCATGATACTCGACTGTTGTCGGTGCAATGCAAGTCCTTGCATTTTCTCTGACTGTCTCCGGGGTGGGCTTGTTGAGGATGCTGGTTAGTGTGTTAGTTAGCCAAGTCTCAAGGAATTTTTTCACTGCCAGTGGCATCTCTTCTGTTGTGGACGTGAAAGCTCCTTTATCGTGGGATATCGCAATACTGCCGTGAGGGAGAGGCGACCCGCCTCGCCTGGGAGAGGCATTAGGCATTATGTCTTCGCCTTCTGTTTCAGAAACCTCATTGGTGGTGTTTAAAAGATTGGTGGTGAGGCCGACCACTACCATCATTATTTCTTCTCCATTACCTGTCATGTCAGATCTTTGTGTACATGAAAAAAAGGGTTCTTTTCTATGTGTTTATTTTAGCAACTCGTGATAGTTATAGATCTAGAAGAAACTAAACATCTAACTAGGAAATCCCCACAGACGGCGCCTAATTATTTGATCAAAGAGTATAAACCTTTGATTAAACTAATTAATTTTATGTAACAAGGGGTTGAACCAAGTTAATGATAATATCCCTAGATTTATAACTAGTTAGCACAAATATTGAGAGATAACGCTGGTAAGGGATTAAATGCAGTGTGCATTTAATATTCCGAAAAGTTTCAGTAATGATAAGAGAGTATCAAGCAATAAATATCAATAAATGGCATTAATGTAAATAAGGAGAATGAGTCACCCAATATTGAATGAGGTGGATGATTCGTCTTTCTCACAGTGACGAGTGACATACAAATCCTAAAATATTAGAACTATTCTCGGATATGATGGAAAATTATGGAATAATAGATGGAAGAATCTTATTAGAAAGGTATAGTTTGTATCTTTTCTAGAGAGGGGGTCTTCTTCTCAAAAAGTGTTCGTATCGAATGAATGTTACCCGCCTTTCCCCTTATCTCTCTTTCAATTTATATGGGACATACCCCTAGTCAACCCTAATAGTACAAATACAAAGAATATTAAATGGAATATTCTCTTTAATATCCTATTACACAGACTAGCCGTTAGTGCTCTATCCTTGATGCTCGACCTCGACCATCGTTGACTGTCCGGCTACGAATCTTACCGTTTATTAGTAGACCTCGGCCGCGTCATCTTCTTTAATTCCCCATCATGCCAAATTTCTTTGGGGCAGATTTTGACCCATACAATATTCTCTCCATTTTATTTTGTATCCTTAGTTTTGATTATGCACGAAATTTAAGAATATAAAAAAAATTGAATTTTGAAGTCTTAAAGTAAAAGTATATATAACATATTAAAGGTACTCTTGTGATGCATAGATTGAATAATGCAATCAATTTATTATCCATTAATACCCAAATAAGTATAAAACTGTACAATCAAGCTAAGTCGGGCATATTAAATATCAAATATAATTAAAAAAAAAAGGTAAAAATGGGAGTAAATTAATACTGAGACATATAAAAATATGCCCAATATCAATGGCTAAATGGTAAAATGTTGTGTTGAAAACACATGTGATGCATATATGGATTAAATACAAATATTGATTTCTTTTTCACCTAAATATATTGATCAACGGATTCAACATTTGTGGTCTTCGAACTTTATCACTGTAAGAGCTACATCACGTTGTAGCCGCTACTCCATTACTCTCTCCGGTCCACAAGTGATCAATTTGCTTTAGGCACACCCGTTAAGGAAATATCAAATTCTAGACGAAAATAGTTAGTGTGACTAAACTACCCTTCATTAGATGTTGCACCATAGTTACAGTAGCACTTACTTCTCTTCTCAAATATAAGGAGTAAATGACTTTTTAGGGATACGTATATAAGGGTAATTTTTTTGGAAAAACAAATTGAATTTTTTCTTGATTATATAAATGGACACTTATTTTAGACCAAAATAAAAAAATAAATTTGTCACTTATTGTGAACCAGAGTGAGAAATTTAAAGATAGACTAGACCCATGAGGTTCAACATAAGTAATTAATGTGTCACACCTAACAAATATTAATATTATGTGTTCCAGCACACATAAAAGTTGGATATAATGTATGTTATACAAAGTGCGAGAAATCAACCTGCAATAAGAGGAAAACGTCCGACTTTGAATTTTTTTTTTTAAACTTTAACTTCAAATACTTTTTTTAAACTTGGATTAAATATTGTTCAAACACCTACTAAATATTTCAAATCTTTTCAATACACTAGAAAAAAAAAAGGGATATGCTAATTATCTTGAATTCATCGCATAGGAAGAGCTGATGCTACTGGAATAATGCAAAAACGGTCATAACTTTTGCAAGTTAAAATGGTAAAAGAAAACTATCTTTTGTAATGCCAAGTTAAGTTAACGAAATGTCTGAGCATCACCAAAAGTTACCAATATAAAGTGTACTTGAGCTCCGGTGAGGTTGGGTTGCGACTCATTTTTGTTCAACTCGTTTTCCATCTGGCTCGACTCACGCATTCAGTCTCCATTATTTTTCTCTCTTACAACAATAATAATGATTACGACTCAATTTTAAGAGCCTCTTTGGCCAAACATCGTTCGATCAAAAGTGTTTTGTTGCCAAATGTGTTTTTTCCTAAAGTTAAAGTGTTTGGTCAAGCTTTTAGAAGGAAAAAAATGCGTTTCTGAGTAAAAATAGAAGCAGTTTTTGAGAATAGAAAAAAATTAATTTCTCCCAAAAAGCACTTTTTCAAAAAATATTTTTCAGAAATATACACTTAAAAACACTTTTTAAAAGATTTATCAAACACTAATTACTATTTAAAAATAAATTTAAATTAATTAGCCAAATATAAATTATTTCTCACCAAAAGTACTTTTTAAAAACACTTTTTGAAATAAATTGATTTTAAAAACTTGGCCGCTATAAGCTTGTTGAGTCTCTTCTCTCTTCCAATTGTACAAATTTTCCGTCAAAAGCATTTGTGCACATGTATGTATAGATTTGAATTTAAAATTGTTGAGAAAGGAGCCACGTAAGGGTAGTTTAGTATTTTCCTCTATTAGTCTCCACCAATAAGATTAAAGAAGGTGGTTAAGTTAGTTAAACAAGTGTCAATATAAATACACACATGTAATATTCATTTTAATTAATAAGAAATGAAGAGCTGATTATATCTTCTTCTTCCTCATTCTACATTCTGATTTCTCTCTCTCTCTCGTGCATCTTCTTCTTCTTCTATTTTTCTGCGTTTAATTACATGGTATCAGAGCACAGCTAGTTATTTCTAGCGTGTGGTTTATTCCTGAAACAATTAAAGGCAATTGCTTACTTCTCTGTGTTGTTATTTCACGACTGGTTCTTGAACTTCTTGATAAAAAATATCGATTCCATCAAATCAAGCAAATGATACACATGCAACAACTCCAATTCCTTCTCCAGTGCTAGGAGTGAATCAAATGACTAACATAGATTACAATCACCTATTATTTCTATCTCCAGCAGACATCAGTGGCATTCAGATTATCTTATTTCAACTGACAGGTATTGAAAACTATTCAATTTGGTTTAAATCAATGAGGGTAGCCTTATTGGGGAGGAACAAGTTGGGGTTGGTAGATGGCTCTTGTACTAAAGATAAATTTCCAGAAATCTTGTGGAATCACTGGGAAAGAGTCAATGCAATAGTACTTTCTTGGATAATGAATTCTGTAGCTAGTGGATTGCTAGGTGGAATCATATATGCATCAAGCGCATAAGCTGTGTGGAATGATCTGTTTGAACGGTTTAACAAAGTTGATGGTGCAAGATCTTTTAATCTTCATAAAGAAATTGCTACCTTAAACCAAGGAACCGCATCTGTTTCTGTATATTTTTCAAAATTAAAGGATTTATGGGAAGAATTTGAAGCTTTGGTCACATTCCCTGGTTGTGATTGTGCAAAATCAAGGGATTTTGTGATACATCTACAGAAACTGAAATTGTTTCAGTTCTTGATGGGGTTAAATGACTCATATAGTCAAGCAAGAAGTCAAATACTGCTAATGAGTCCAATGCCTACTGTGAATCAAGCATATGCTATGATAATCAGTGATGAAAGTCAAAAAACAGTAGCAGGTTCAGCAGGTTTATTAGGTGCAAATCCAGCCAATATGTCTGATCAATATGAGGTAGCTATGTACTCAAGAACAGGTGGTAATTAGAGGTTCAATCAGAAAGGAAGGAAAAATTATAATGTTCAATGTGATTTTTGCAAACTCAAAGGCCACACCAAGGAAAATTGTTATAAGATTGTGGGATATCCCCCAGAGTTTAAGCTCAGAAAAAAAGGGGGAGCTGGAAGTTATAACACTTAAAACTCAATGGCTGAAAACAATGGAAATTCAAGATATAATAATGCAGCTGCATATAATGTTCTAAATGAGGACAGTGTACAGAACAGTCAATCTACTGAGGATATGTTTGGTCAACTCTCTGGATTAATAGAATCTGGAAATCAGTCTGTGAGTAAAAAAATAAATAGCCAACTAAATCTACAAGGTCAACTAGCCAGTTGTACATTCACTAAGGAACAGTATGAGCAGATTCTGCAACTATTAAACAGCAACAATACAGGACAAAAGTCTAGTGCAAATATAGCAGGTACATCTAAGTACTTTAAAGAATGGATAATAGATACTGGTGCTACCAATCATATGGTAGCAGATCTAGATTTGTTGGACAAGTCTACTATAGTGCAAGTTCAGTATCCAAAAAGAGTTTTCATGCCTAATGGGGATGTAACTCAAGTTACTCACACTGGAGCCAGTACAATATCAAATAGAAGCACAATAATTAATGTGTTCTATATCCCTCAGTTCAAGTTTAATCTCCTTTCAGTATCTAAATTGACAAAAGAGTTGAGATGCTTAGTAGCTTTCTTTCCTGATTTTTGTATTTTTCAGGAGCTCTTCACTGGGAAGGTGAAAGCGATTGGTAGAGAAAATGATGGTCTATACACTTTAAGAAGCCAAGCAGAAGGAAAGAGTTCTAGTGAAGTCACTCTAGCAGCTACTGAAGGTGCAAGTACATATGAGATCAAATCAACAGAAGATATAGAGTTGTGGCACAAGAGATTTGGACATGTTTCAGCAAATGTTCTGAGGAATTTACTGCCTATTACTATAGATGTTATAGCAGAAAGAATAAATATATGTGTTGTATGCCCATGTGCAAAATAAACAAGGCAACCTTTTCCTACTAGTTGCATTAAATCTACTGCTGTTTTTGATTTGATACATGTAGACCTTTGGGGACCTTATAAAGTACCTACATTTGATGACAACAAGTATTTTCTGACTTGGTAGATGATTTCTCCAGAAATACATGGCTATTTTTACTCAAACTTAAGTCTGATGTGTGCACTGTTCTCCAATAATTCATAATGTTTGTCAAGACTCAGTTCAACAAAACAGTTAAAGTCATTAGAAGTGACAATGGTACTGAGTTTGTCAATTCAACCTGCAGCAACTTATTTACTAATCTTGGAAAAATTCATCAGACTACTTGTGCATACACACCACAACAAAATGGTGTTGCTGAAAGAAAACATAGCAGTTCGTCCAGCCGTCTTCTAGCTTCGACCAACCAAGAGGATTCCTTATATAAAGGACAGACACCTATTAGAGGTCACACGAGCAATTAGATTTCAAGGATATATACCTATAAAGTTCTGGGGATATTGTGTCTTAGCTGCAGCTTATTTGATTAATAGAATGCCAAGCTCTATGTTGAACTATAAATCACCATATGAGAGGTTGTATGGAAAGAAACCTTCTCTGAAACATATCAGAGTACTAGGGTGCTTATGCTTTGCAAAGACAGTACAAGAACCAGACAAATTAATGCCAAGATCCAGGGCATCTATACATATGAGGTATGCAACTTCACAAAAAGGATATTTACTCTATGATTTGAATAACAAAAGTTTTTTTGTTAACAGAGATGTCATCTTTAAAGAAGATGTGTTCCCATTCAAAAGTCTCAGACAAAGCCAAAATATACCTATGTTCACAAACAACAGCCTTCAATCAATACTTGATGACACTTCAGGACAATTCAATCTTGGAAATCAGAATATTGCTCAAACAGATGAAGCTGGGAATACTGACCTTCAAATAAGTCAAATTGAAGACATATACAATACAGAAGATCCAAATCAACAAATCTCAAACTCATCAGTTGATCATACACAACAAGGTACTAGTTCTGAAGACTTACAACCACACACATCAACTGAGGTAATTCCTAATAACTCATTCTCATAAGTTACTAACCTACAACAAAATGATTTAGTGAGAAAATCAAGTAGATAAAAGAGACCACCTCTATGGATGAAAGATTTTATTTCTTTAAATGTACATCAAGACCAGCCTTATGCTTTAGCTAAGTTCATATCTTATGATAATATCTCTCCTATCTACCAGTCATTTATTGCTGCTTCATCATCTATTTCTGAACCTACAAGCTATCAAGAAGCAGTCAGGATCCTAGATGGATAGAGGATATGAAAACTGAGATTGATGCTTTACAAAATAATCACACCTGGGATATAGTTACACTACCTAAAGGAAAATCCCCTATAGGATGCAAGTGGATTTACAAGATAAAATACAAAGCTACAGGAGAAATAGAGAGATTCAAAGCAAGATTGGTTGCAAAAGGATTTAGCCAAAAGGAAGGAATAGATTACCAAGAAACTTTCTCTCCAGTGGTAAAAATGAAAACTGTGAGAACAGTGTTAGCAATTGCTGCTATTAGACAATGGCATATACATCAAATGGATGTATATAATGCATTTCTTCAAGGAGACCTACATGATGAAATATATATGGAACTGCCTCAAGGATTTATCAGTCAGGGGGAGACAAGACCAGTGTGTAGACTGATTAAATCCTTATATGGTTTAAAACAGGCACCAAGGCAATGGAATGCAAAACTCACTGAAGCTTTATTAAAGGCTCAATTCATCCAAAGTCAATATGATACTCCTTATTCTTCAAGAAAACCTCATAAGGCATTACTATAGCATTAGTGTATGTGGATGACATGCTCATTACTAGAGATAGCTTAAAATTAATAGAAGAAACTAAGACTGGCTTACAACAGGCATTCAAAATGAAAGACTTGGGTGAACTCAAATACTCTCTAGGTATTGAATTTGCAAGGTCCAGTCAAGGAATTCTAATGCATCAAAGGAAATACACATTAGAACTGATTTCAGAAACAGGTCTGGGAGCAGCCAAGCCTGCTATAACTCCTCTTGATTTCAATGTGAAGTTAACAACAAAGGAATATGATATATATGCAAACAAAGGCAAAGAGGTAACTGATGAAGATGAAGAACAGCCAGCGCTGAATTCATATCAGAGGTTAATTGGCAAATTGCTATATTTAACAATGACTCGACCAGATATTGCATTCAGTGTTCAAACATTGAGTCAATTCCTTCAGAAACCTAAAAAATCTCATATGGAAGCGGCACTCAAAATTATGAGATATCTGAAACAACAACCAGGTCAAGGAGTTCTACTGTCTAGTAAAAACAATACTGAAATTACAGCCTACTGTGATGCAGACTGGGCAGCTTGTCCTCATTCTAGGAAGTCTGTTTCTGGCTATTTAATTAAATTTGGTGAGTCCTTAGTTTCCTGGAAATCAAAGAAACAAACAACTGTTTCCAGAAGCTCTGCAGAAGCAGAGTATAGAAATCTTGCATCAACAGTGGCAGAATTGATTTGGCTAGTTGGTTTACTAACATAACTGGGGTTTAATATCAAACAACCTGTTAGTGTATACAGTGATAGCAAAGCAGCTATGGAGATTGCAGCAAATCCAATCTATCATGAACGTACTAAACATATTGAAATCGATTGTCATTTTATTAGAGAAAAAATCTTACATTTGATTACAACAAAGTATATTCCTACTCAAGAACAACCAGCTGATATTCTGACCAAGGGACTAAACAGGATCCAGCATGAGTATCTAAATTCCAAGCTTGGAACTTTAAACATATTTACAGTTCCTAGCTTGAGGGGGAGTGTTGAGAAAGGAGTCACTTAAGGGTAGTTTAGTATTTTCCTCTATTAGTCTCCACCAATAAGATTAAAGAAGGTGGTTAAGTTAGTCAAACAAGTGTCAATATAAGTACACACATGTAATATTCATTTTAATTAATAAGAAATGAAGAGCTGATTATATCTTCTTCTTCCTCATTCTACATTCTGATCTCTCTCTCGTGCATCTTCTTCTTCTGTTTTTCTGCGTTTAATTACAAAAATTTTAATTTGTAAATATTAAATTTCCCGTGGTTGTAAATCTTCGCTTGGATAAAATAAAGACACGAAGATGCACTTTCAATGTCAAAACTTCTGGACAAAGTGTTAACAGTGGAGGAGTCCCTAAAGCAGCCTGTACTTATGAGTCCTTGAACTCCTTTGTTTGGAAAACTTTGATTGATGTATTTATGAGACTCGCCAGCAAACGAAAAAGGGTAGCTTTAACAGACGTTAGCTGGTAGGTGTATGTCACTGATTTATTGGTACAGCAAAGAAGGAGCCCGGAACCAAAATATTACTCCCTCCGGTCCATAATAAGTGATCAATTTGCTTTTTTATTTTGGTCCAAAATAAGTGTCCTGTTATATAATCAAGAAAATATTTTATTTATTTTTTCAAAATTACCCTTATGTATGTATCCCTAATAAGTCATTTACTCCTCACATTTGAGAAGAGAAGTAAGTGCTACTATAACTATGCTGCAATATTTAATTAAGGGTAGTTTAGTCGCACTAACTATTTTTGTCTAGAATTTAGTATTTCCTTAATGGGTGTGTCCAAAGCAAATTGGTCACTTATAAATGCCCAGAACACATATCTGAATATGGATTCTTGTATCCTTGGACTGCGCTCAAGCTTCCATTCAACAACAATCTCGGGGTTAAAGTGTTGCAATGCAGCCATGTACCTGGATAGAGCGACAATGGACTTATCCTAGTTACCATAAACAATCTCAAACGCATGTTTACGCCTGAGAAATGCCTTTCTTTTGGTAATGGTACATCAATATACCTGGTGGACAGATGTTATACACTCTTTAATCTTGTAACTTATGGACGATTCAATGTGTGGAATCAAGACAAGAGAAATCAAGTCAACATTCAAGTTAAAATGATTCTCATTGAATGTGTCCATTTCACAAGTGTGGTTGCCAATGTATTTCCCAAAATTCACATATTTGTTTTCAACTTTCTCGCACGCAGCATCCGTGTACAAGCTTGAAACCATCTACAATAAATAACCTTGTATACTTCCGGAGATGACTCATGAACCACGATCTCATGATACTCTTTTATGTTGTACATTCGCACCGCTCTTCTTAGGCGCGCTTTATCAGGAAAAAGCATATCTTTGACAGCACCGTTCGTCTAGATTCATCCCACATTGCTGTCCGAATGTCGTCAAGACCCCTCGTGAATGCATCCACATCCGGCATACTAGGGACTGATAAAGGTAGGGAATCTCTCTTGAATAAAACAACACATGGGACTCGTACGTTCTCGGTCTAATGGGAGGTGGAGTCTATATATATGGAACATGCTTATTGATGGCATCATGCTCCCTCGTCAAATCAGGTTCATCATTCTCGTCCTCATCATCATCAGCGAAGGGTGTCATCTCTAAACCCATCAACATTGTTTTCATAATTACTATTATCTTCCTGATTCTGCGTATCTGCCAGATCCTGATTAAATTTATCGTCTTCGCGCAATTGAGTAAGGACATGACATTCAAGTTGTTCGTTTCTACTGCATAACCAATAAAATAATGAGTTTCTCAAATTCATCCAAACATTACATATAAACTTTATCGCTTAACTTACAAATCCTAATCTGTTGATATCCCATGATGCACATTATCCTGTTGCTGATGACACCGGGATGGACCACCATGATCCTACACACCAAAATTAGGTATATTCCAACTTCATTGGTTAATAACTTGTAAAATTCATATCTGGTCAGTACCCCTTTGGAATATATGAGTGTTAATACAAATACAATACATAAAAAATAGCGTAATACAAAGGAAAATTGAAATTTATCACTCGGCTTGTGGATTATATAAACTTGGGGAGAAATTATGTCATCGCTCCTTATTTGCCCGTGGAGATAAGTTTAGATCTGGCCAAACTCTTTCAAACGAAACCTTTTCGGATAAAACTGTTAGAAAAGACCACCCGATAATTGAGGGTTATCCCTATTTTGCGGAATCTCAATATTGCAACCGTCTTCAACCTTGACGTACATTTCCAACATTTTTCACAAGAAGTTCCCGGTGTTCATCCGGAGTCCTCAAAAAATCTATCTGAGTTTCATCGTCTTCAATGTGTAAACTCAGCATAACAACAACCCCTTGCGGAATAACAGAATACGGATATCTTTCGGCTACTTTAATATTAACCGAACGTTTTCTCACACTCATTTTTTTTACATAATAACGATATCAATCTATCGTACTCCATTGTAAGTGGCAACTTAACATGACATTGTGGAGAACAACTATTGCGTGCTGAGTTATTTTCCACCACAACCTCACTCCCCCCCCCCCCTCCCAGTATAATGCAACCCTAATTTTTCGCTCTTCAGACATTATGACAAAATGCAAAATAAGTTAAGAAAACAAATATTTCGGAAGACCCGAAGGATCCTGAATAGATTTTTACCGAAATTCTGAAACTCCTTAAATAAGCAAAAAACCAGTCCAGGAGTACAATAATTGAGGGTATAGTGCATATATAGGATGCGCTATATATGTAGCGCCAATTATGCATGCGCTATACCCTCAATTAATTATGGGTCAGTAAAGTTCAGATGAATTATTAATGGGTCAAGGTATAGCGCATTGAATAAATGTGTTATATATACTTTGGTCATCAATTATTTTTTTTACTATTTTTATGCTTTGAGTCCAAAAATACAATATTTTAGTTCCGGACTCCAATAGAAGTACGAAGAAGCAAAAACTACCACTAGCTATACTGTCGTACTGACCAATAGCAATTCGATCGAAACGTTTCGTACTTCACATGTCATGTCTTTAGTGCCTATTAATTCTTGTATGGTCAGGCAGCCATGAAAATTACTCCCTTTATTTAAAAAAAAATATTTTAGTTTGACTTGACACAAATTTTAATAAAGAAGTTAAGACTTTTAAGATATATGGTTTTAAATATGTCGTAACATTTTTGTGACCGTAAAACTTCTAAAATTTATGGTATAAAACCTACCATAATATTTGTGTGGCTATAAATACTTTTTATTAAAGAAATATTGGAAGGTGCGAATCTTTTGAAACAGATTAATAGTGAAATAATGTCAATCTTTTAGAAACAGAGGGAGTATTATATGGTGTACGTAATTGACAGGTCAACGAAGTGAGTTGAGAATCATGAAAGATTTTCGGTTTAAATTTCTCGCATAAATTCTATTGTACGTGAATTCTTTCTATCTATCCGTACCTTGATGGATAGAATTACCTGATATTTATGCTAGCGAAAATAACATATATTTCATATAATATATGTGCAATTGATCCATGAAATGCCTCCTCCTATTGTTGTTCTCCTTCACTTCTCCTTCCATATTCAAATCCGATATCTATTTAATTTGCTCCTTGTGTTGAGAGGCTCAAAAGAAAAAAATGAACCTCCACTATTTGTTTTTTCCCAATTCAAAGTCGAGATTTTGAAAAAAAAAGAAAAAAAATAGACTGAAGTTTGAATATTTGAGCCGCATTCTTTTCGAGTTGAAGTCGATTTTTCTTTGCCGTGGTTGATTAGAAATTTGAAATAGAAGACATCATTAAAAGTAGCTCGAGCGTCGATTTTAGAAATTGGGATTTTCGAGTTTGTTAGTTGTTTGGATTAAGTGTTGTCCTAATTGATATTAAATATCAAGAGGAGTTTACAACTTAAATTTGAAGTGATTTGAAGTAGATTTGAGCTAAATTTGAGGTAAATTTCAGAAGAAGAAGAAGAAGAAGAAAAAGAAGAGAAGAAGAACACGTGAAGCTCCATCGATAGAATTTATTTGTATAACAATGTGTAATATTGTTTAATAGTGTACAAATACCTCTTTACTATAGGGGTGTATAAACACCTCTTATACATTATTATATTCAAGATTGATTACATGTATTTAGTGGTTTCTCACATATTTTTCTTCTTATACACCTATCTGCATAGTGTATCACTAACATATTTTCACTACTGTTCTTATATATCTTTATATATTTTTGTACACTTATATGCATAATGTACCTGACTTGTATAAAAATATATAATATCGTATAAAAATGCATAAGCATCTCTAGACGAACTTTTTCTATGATTTTGAGTTTTAATTCTTGTTCAAACCGGTCCAAATTCCATCAAATAACTTCAAGTTTTGTAAAACAAGTCTAAATAACAATCACTCCAAGATTCTTACAAAAATTAGAGCCGAAATTTCGAACCTACTTATTTAAGCTCGTTCAGTAATGTTACGTTAAATATAAGTGGAGACAGATAATAAATTGACAGCCTGACATGAAATAAATAAGAAAGGGACTTCAACAGAGGAAATAGAGAACGGCCCTCTCCACAACAAATATCTGTATTCCTGTAATAACATCACATTCTATTCAAGTTCCAACCAAATAAATTTGAGATTTATTTTCAAAACTCATGTTTGACCATAAATTTTGCTCATATTTTGGCCA